CTCTTAAGTAGTTTTTTTTTTACAGAATCTAATTAAATTTAAACGTTTTTTTCATCCAATTACAAATATTTTTATATTAAAGTTTTATATTACATACAAGTTTTATGCCACTAACCACCGAGCAATAGTGGGGCACATAATGTATTCCTATACGTTTAATGGCCATTAAAATAACCATAAAGATTAACGCCAAAATGTTTCCCGCCAGTTTGGTTGGTGACCTTTAGCGTGGCCCACCTGGTTTATCACCGCCATAAATAGCTGCCATAAAACAGTCCATTAGTCACCTCCTATGGCTCCGAGCATTACCGTAATCGTGTAGCAACAGCTTATTATCGAAACGATCGATTTTAAGTAGTTTAATATCAATAACACATTTTATGAAAGGATTTATATTTATTAAAAAAATGGCACATTTTTATGTTTATTAACATTGATGTTCAATGCACAATCCAAAAAGAAAATGCGAAATAGTTTTGTGTATCTTGACTATATTCTTATACAGGCTATGCATCAAATATTTTAATAGTATAATATAATTATTTTAAAATGAACCATTTTTTTTTTTTACTGTATACAGAGTGTTAAAAAAAGGTGGGGATGTAATTTACGTAGTGATTCCTTGGCCAAAATAAAGAGAAAATCAAGAATAAAATTTTTTCCCCAACATAGCATCGTTTACCTGATATCCGCCATTTTGGATTTTTTACATAATCATTTTTATATTTAACATTTTTTAACCGATCTTTATGAAACTAGACGTGTATGTTAAGGTAGAGAATACCCATTTAATAAAAAATCATCTTGATTCAACTAAAAATGTTAAAATAATTTTTTAAACTTAAATTACTCACAAATATCTGGTTTTATGGAAACCACACACAATGGTTTATGGTTTATGGTTTTATGGTATGAACACTTTTATTTAGCATTTATAATAAAGGTAATTGTTGATAAAAAGTCGTATTCGAGATTAAATAGCCATCAAACAGTAGATTTATTTTACTTATGTTATACCGTATCAAAGTTATTTTATCGTAGTTATAATTTACAATAGTTATTATAATTTTTGTCATCTTTTTTATTTTTATTTTTATATAAATGTTTAACTAATTTATAATTGAATTGTTTTTGCCAAAATATTTAACCAAATCTTTATAAAACTTAAGTCTCTCAAAATGTTTATATTTGTGTGTAAAAGTGGTTTTCTTAGAGATATATTGGGACGTATACCAATACCTAATAAAACATATAAGTGCAAACGTATAAATTTGAGTAATATTAACCTACACAATTAATGAGAAATAAATTTAGATTAATGAAAAATGGATTTGCTAGCCTGTGCCATATTAAAATCAAACAATTACTTATTATTATACTGAACATTTTATATCACGAATAAATATAGCCAAAGTCCCTATTTTACCATACACCTTTTTATAGAATAAACCCACACATCTATATTCCTTTCCGAGAAAATCGGAAGGAGTAAAATCCGAGATTTAAAGGTCTCCGTCTTTTTCGCTCTCACCTTAATAATTTACCTCAAGTCCGTCTCTGCCACCACTTGTCTTAATGAAAACCAGAGCGTTCAGACCACCGTCTCAGCTTTAACACACGAACCAAGACATTTGATCTGTTGATATTTTTCGTTTCCCAAGAAGAAAATCAAGTTACAGAGAAATATTTATTATATTACCACAGTATTCTGGCATGAAAAATCTTTGAATCACATGTGTACACGGGAAAGACTTATATTAAAATAAAATATGAAATACACCTACCATTTTAAAACTAAAGTAGTTATTGACAAGAAGGTTTCTCCAAAGATATCCTAAAAGCATGGCGTACAAGCAAGATTTGGTTTGATTCGGTTGACCCGTTTTGATACTATTAATTTTATTATAGATTGCCCAAACAGACAGACAGACGCCTAATGAATCAAAATAGACCCTTTTGGGAGTTTATGATTACTTACGCTTCTTATGGCTCAGGGAACAAATTCCCAACAGATTAGTATAAAAGATTCTCAACACTTTGTAGTGTAAGCTTATTTAGTACGAAAATATTATCCAAATCGAAATGTAATTGACAAAATCTCAAGAATATAAGTCAACGCAAACAAGCTCAGGCTTTATAGAAATTGTAAGGTTACTCATATCACCCTCCCAATAGGAAACTATTTAAGGTTTAGTGGGATAAGACTACGAAATAGTAATGTCAACCAACAAACCTTTTTGTTTAGTGTAGACGATAACTTACGTAAAAATAATCGATTTTACCACCAGATTCCCACAGTTTTGAGTTTAAATAATATCAAAACACCCATCTATGTTTTTCAAGTGAGATAAAAGGTTTCAAAAAAAGCTTTTTTTTACTTTAACTGAGGTTTTAGTTAAAAAAAGTAACAGTTTATTTCCTTAAAATGGTATTTTCAAAATTTTACTATCGTATAAGGGTGGGATTTTAAAGGCAATTTCATTAGGGCAAGTGACGGTGTTGTCACGACGGGTGGTGAATTATTTAGCCGAGAAGCCAAAATGGAGGACGACCTCTTACTTTATAATCCTAGTCCTGGATAAAACGCTTTAAACACTTGTTTTATTAATTAACATTATTAAATTAGTAACTTTTTGGTACTTACGTATTATACGGAGGCCACATATTTTACAGCGCGCTGCAGCGGTTATGTTAGGTTGGGTTATCATAAATATATGGTTTTTTATCAAATTAAACTATCTTAACCTAACCTAACCAACCAAACTTGCTGATGGTGAAAAAATCGCATGAAGGTTTACTAATCGAATTGAATCTGTAGGTTAGGTGGCCTCCGTTTAATACGTAAGTACCAAATTTTTTTTACAAATTTATGGAATATTGTAAAAAAGATAAGTTTTAAATTATAGGCTTATAAATATCTTATAGATTATTGAAAGTTAAATATACTTGTAGTTTCTGGGGGTTCTGGAGAAGTAAAAATATTTTTTTGTAAAAAGAATATTCATAGTGACACCTATAGTGTTATTTTAGACGGTAATTGCTATTGGAGATTTCAGGTAGGGGAGTAGGCCTACATCAAAACGACGATTTTTATTCATATCTAGAAGATAAATTGTCCGCCTCCTCCTCATATGTGAAGGACAAAAATCTTTGAAAACACCCAAGTCGCTTTATTTTTACATCGATTTCATACCAGAGATACTGGAACGTGGTAAGTCAGGTTTGACCTGAATTCGGGGGTTTTCTCAATTTAATTCGTAGCTTAATTATATTTGCGAGATCACAAATTCGATAATATATTTGAAACAATTTAATAAGTAAATGTTAAAAATTAGATGTGTTTAAAATTTGTTGTATAACCTAGTGAACAACTTATTACAAACTTACTGTAGTTGTTAACCAATGCGTATTAAGTTACTAGAGCTCACCCCGTGGTCGAAAACTTTATACTTGACCAACAGTATATATTGTGCAAACCTCACTATTTTCACTCCATGCTGTAAATAAAACATGTGATTGGAATTTCTTGCTTTTGTTTTAATTTTCTGTTTATATTTTGTTGTTATTTCGTCACCATCATTGCAACCCATAAGGCCCATGTTAATTATTAAAATTTAAAGTTCATTTTTTTTGTGCTTATTTTAGCCAATTTTAATTTATAATATCTTTTTAACACTATGTGTATATTTTTCCAGTCATGCACAGAAGCTGAGAAAAAGGGGTTTCAATAAACATGGTTGTCTATTAATATATAGAATCAGCCCCATGTTAAATATCCATAAGAAAAGTTGAATTTCCATTTTTGACCCAATACATACATGCAATAATACATACATTAATATATATTCTCAAAATACAAATGAAATCTACACATATAGGACCGATAACCTTTCTTTTGGTACCTTCCGCGTGTAATTCGGTCCAGTAGTATGGTCAGGCTAGCTGTCATAAGTTTTGCCAAAGTGTTTTAATATATTAAGGGATGTAACACACATTTGAAAATTGCGAATAAGTGTGTAATCCTTCTGGTCATTCTTCTAAATACGAAATAAATATTTTCAGCACCCAAGTTAGTGTTAACTCTTAAATGAGGTAAAGAAAAATACACGTGATTCTTTTAACAACAATGACGTCAGAATGAGCAAATAAGGGATGATTCCCTTTGTTCTACAAACAAAAGCTGGCATTTCTCATCCAAAGACAAGGTTTGTGTTCTCGTCTTCGTTTACGAACTGAGTTCTTCGATAATATTATTCTGTTTTACGCGTGCTCAGACGATTCAGTAGAATCTGGATGTTTTGTTATGAGATGATTTTGCACTTTATATAAATTGTTTACACACAACCTGGATGAACTTGTAGTTTATATATACTTGTTTGGATATTTAAAATGTGCACGTGAAGAGTTGGTGATAATGGGGAAGTTTTTAAGCTGATTTTCATGTTCAATTCAACATTTGATGTATTTATTAACGACTTATGGCTCTTATTTGATTTCCAATTGAAATTATTGTGAAAACCGTAATAAATATGTATCATAATAATTATATTGATATACAAGCGTGTCATATATAGTTAAAGCCTCTAAACATGAGCTATGTAGCCAATTCTATTTTCTACCTATTAATATTGTCAAACAGGGCTTCATAGGCAATCATAACACTTAATTGAAATGTAAGATTTTATTCAACTTATAATACCCATTACAGCAAAAACAATTTTTGCATTAATTATGGGGTGCAAAATTACCGTAGGATTTTGTATTTTTTGTTATTAGAAAGGTTGAAAACTCTTAAAGTGAAAGTGTACTGTATATTGACAAAAGCATAATTTTTATTAAATTTATTAAAATGTACGTATTACCGTCCAATCTTTTACAAAAGGTAATTACTTCCTCGTTTAGTACATACAATGATATGTATACTTTTTAAAGTAAAAAATTATGTATCAGAATATATAAATTATGTAGTATTTAATATATATTTTGTAGCTGTAACTTACCTAATTTCATATGAGGTCTTTCTTGTGTTCTGAAACAGAGGTCAAAGAAGTTAGATCTTTCGAACTGTTCTTAAATGCAATTTTGAGGTTATTTATTTCTAACATTTTAGAAATGTATTTTTAATATTAGCCCTATATAACAAAATGTGAATATGTTACTCTAAGTTTTATTAGGTAGATTAATAACTGTGAAAATAATACCAAGGAACCTTAGAGAGATACTTCCATTATATTATTTGACTTATAATGCACACATTTTTGAAACACATTTAAGATAAAGGGTATCATTATTTATTTACTCTAAAATTTTGCAAAGTTTCCGAAATATTTTACTTTCAAAGAAATATATGACTGAAGTTCTTTTTTAATGTGAATTTTTAATGCTGTAGCTCGTGTAGAAAAGATTCTTTATATTTCATTCATAAAGTGAATTATTATTAATACTAAGCTTTTCACCAGATATTCTAAAAAAATTTTCGGTTAAAAAATTCAGAACTTTTAAAGTCTTAAGATTTTTATTTACAAATTTGTTTATACAGAATGTTATAAATTAATAAACTCTCAAAACAGTTTCAAAATAATTCAAACCTTATCTTACAATTGTCATATCATTTCTAAATCTCTCATTGCAGAATATCATTTTTGTATCTTTGTAACCTTAATATGATTGGTAAAGCAAATTATTACTGTCTTCTCTAATACCTCTTACCTGTTCATGATTTCAATGTAAACTAAAGTTAATATAGTTAAAATCTATGTCTTATTTTACGATTCAATTTATTTATTAGTGGAGACCTAGGTTTTTACGTCGAAACGTTATTGTCAGTCCTTTGTCTCATAGGTTAGCTAAACTTTTAGTTTTCAATCTCTTGTTTAAGTTTTTTGTCGATTTTGTATAGTTTGTGCAAACATTGAACACATATAAATATTAAGATGATAACGTTTCGACGTAGAAACCTAGATCTCCACTATAAAATAAATTGGATCGTAAGGTAAGCCTTAGATTTTAACTATGTTCAATAACGATCAAGATCCAAATAAAGCTAATGAGGTGTTAAAAAGAATAAATAAAGTTTGCCTATTCTATTTTTTACATAATTCTTATATATTACTTTAATTTAAACGCTTACTGCCCTAAAACAAGTCATAATAATACATTGGTACTTTTAATTAGATAATTTAATGGTTTAGCCGAAGTTTGAAACGGGCATTGTCGATATTACAACAATTAATTGTTGTTTTACTATACCGATTTAATTCTACCAAACCAACTGCTATAGGTTAACTTGACGTTTTGTGGGATTGGATTCACTCAGTGGATATATTGAGCCGAAGTTGGAAGTAAACTTGTTGATTTGTGGTCAGATGACTTCCAAGCCTGATCAATACTCATGGCTTTTCCGTTCAACCCATTGCTGGTTATTAATTGATGTTCAACTGATTTACTTACTCTACTGCAAATTAAAAAAAATATATTTAAAAACAGACTGTACCAAACTTATCCTAAATACATTGTAAAAACGCTATTAAAATGTATTCCGTGAGTGTATTATTCAAAATGGTATAATATGAAAATTCAGTTAAATCATCAGCAAAGATATTGCTATCAAAACACGTTCTCTTTCAGTGTCGTGTTATATCGAAGATAATATGATTTTCAGGTTCAACGCAAGTTATAAGTTTGGATTGAGGATATACTTAAAACTCACAATCCGTCGACTTAGGTATAGTATGTATAAGAAAATTGGCCAGTAGTAAAATCACTTGTTCATCGTTCACAAATCCTGTAGGTTATAATAAATAACTTTTCTATGGCTTTTGGTAGAGTTTTTATTACCTCATTAACAGAATTATAGCATAAGATTGATATCAAAAATTCCGCTTACGAAAATATTATACCCTCGTATTGTTGATACTTATACTCCCATTACGCTTTGAAACTCGTTACCAAATGCTTTTCCATGTAGCTTTATCACTTAAAAGTTGTAAAAAGAAGATAAATGCGTTTCCAATATCTCCACCCCGACTAGCAATTGTCGTAACTTTAAACGATCCAGTTAGTTTTATTGATGGTAACAAAACAGCTTCCTAGCCAATACCACTACAATATTCTGTAAATTTATTACGTATGATTTTGAAAATATCAAACGAGACACGAAATCCCTCCGAACCTTATGTAATGTACCTTATGTAATTCTATGTTTTCGTGTCTCGTGTATATGTTCTATTTACTGAACTCCGTTAACAACCTTCGAGTGAAGTGATCACCTTGACATCTTGAGGCCTGAAGATGGTTCCATGGAACCGAAACTAGTTGCCAGAAAGCAACACAGAATTACTATATGCAGGTATTGTAAACCATTTAAAGTATATTAAAGTAATCTGGAGGCTAAATAGCTTTTTGAAAATAAATAAACATTTAAACACGACAAAAACAACAAATAGAAAAACATTTATGGTAACTTATCAGAAGTCTGGACTCAAACTCTCTAGCATCGTCTGTTTTCTTAACTGATTATTTACCATAAATGGTTCGTATTTTGTAGTTTTTGTCGTGTTAAATAATATGACGCTAACAATTATATCAATTATATCAAGAATAAAAAACGTCCTTGTATCATCAGGATGATGATTCCATTTAGTAGTTGAAACTAGTTGCGTTTGCAAATAGATTGGATTTCTCTTAGCAGGTATTTGAACAAAATTTTAAAAAGTTTAACCTTATCATGTTCCGATAATATTTTAGTTTTCTTTAAAGTTTCTCGTATATTTTCATATATACAAACTATTTTCATTGCCTTTTAACTTGATGTAAATTAAATATGTACAAATTTTGTTGTGCTGAAAAAAGTAAAACCCGTTGAATAAATATCTCGATAGAGCTCTTGAAGGTTGTAGTAAACGCAAGGTACCTCTGAAGTGGCACCTAACAGAGAGTTATATCACCATCTACTAAGGTAGTTCCTACTCAATGTATTGGAAACCGTTCCGAAGTAACCTCTAACATTAAGATGGTGCTGCAAACTTTTACATGTATCACTTCCTACATTTTTAAAACATGCAATACAATTTAAATAAAGAATAGGTATTAGTAGAATATAGTTCCACAACTCTCTTAGATTCAAATCTCCTGTAGATACCCCTTTGTTACAAATTTATAGTAAAAAAATTGGGAGAGTATTTAGTAAATTGACCAACGTTAAAAATTTAAGTATTTATTTTTAAATAAATTATGTATGTTTTAGCATACATTCTTGGATACTTCAATACTTTTTAATAACACTTTAATTGATTTAGGTTACTGAAATCACGAAACAAACAGATCATCTGATCCATGACGTTTGCCGTTTCTGGTTTAGAATACTATTACTCCTGTCAAAACTAAAACTGACTTCCTCATCACTAATTTCCCCTCTCTTATACAGTTGCCCGGACAACCGTTAATTGGTTATGATGACTTGAGAATAGATCACAGTTAAAACCACTAATACTAGAACAGACATTAATAATAAATAATTACTTAGAACAGAAAAATGATACACTATTGTAGTTTGTTTGTTCATGGATAAAGGTTAATCGAATTTGGCTATGTGGTTTATTTCAAACTAAACTATCAACGTTTCAATAAAAACGCACCTCATTATCTTCCCTGTAGCAGCAAACCGAAGGACTAAAGTAATGTCATCTATATAGGAATTAGGTCTGACAATTTTAAGGGAATATTTTAAGGGAGATTTAGCCAGGGAAAATTAATTTCGCTTAGTCTGTAGGTTTTCTGCAGCGGGGGTGTGATTAAAAATAATACAGAACAGACATAGAAGAATGTAAATCTTATCACCTTTGTCGCCTACTTGAATTACATCATTAATATTTCAACGTAATGTGCATTATACAGTCTACAGTTATGATTTAAAATTAACAATGTCCACAGAATTAGCTGTTTGTTACATTATATTTTTACACAATGGATTTGTAATATAATTACCCTGGCTTAAAAGTCATGTTGTGTTATGACTTTGATCCCCTAATCGGACTTTAATTTCAGGAGATTGCTGGACTAGGAGGAAAACAGCTCTAATTAACTACACAAAGGGGAGGTCACAATGGCAAGGTCTGTCAGAGACCTTATTGAAGGATGTTAGTAATATCTCTACCCTAAAGGGGGTAAAGATAAACCCACAAACGTGTGGTGTCCTTTAAACTAACGTTATTATCAAGGATTTGGTAAAATATGTGACTGGTAATAAAAATTGCTTTGTAAAACAACTCTTATCAATAACATGTATTTTATACAGTTTAAAACATAATAGACTATATATTTTTCAATAAATATGTGTTATTTGTTTTATTGGTAACTATTTGTCCATTTAAAATGCGTTGTAATAAATCAATAGAACAATATAAAAAGGCAACAACACAACAACAACAACAATATAAAACACAACACAAACAATATAAAACAACAACAATGACAACAATATAAAACAATATAAAAAAACAACAAAAAACAACAACAATATAACACAGAACAATATAAAACAATATAAACACAACAACAAACAAAACAACAATATAACAACAAAAAAACACAATATAAAACACCCAACAACAACAACAAAAGAACAAAACAACAACAACAACAAACAATATAAAAGAGGCCGCCAACCTCTTAAAAAAAAAAACGTCAGAGGGGTAAGAATGAAGTTGTACGTTAAGCAATACTATTTCCATCATCAATACATCCAATTGTAAACTGAAGATAAAACTGTATTGTTTTACTGAGCTCATTCAATATGTTCGATCGATTATAAGATAAAGATGCGACCTGTTCAAGAAAACATCCAAGTTAGACTTATTCAGATTGAAAAAGTTTGAAGAAAACTAGTTGGGAAGTTTATTGACATCTTCGACATGACTTGGGAAGCTAATGGCTTTTCTAAGATAAAAGCAAGGCATTGATAATAACGTCCTTTAAACGATTTCTATATGTTATGTTTATATGTTGTTACTTTCTTAGATGATTAAAAAG